TATGAGGTGTCACGTTTAATGGTCCTTTATTCGCCATTGTAATTTGTGTGTGTCTTTATAGAATTGTCGTGAATAGTCACTTAGTGTCAAAGCAAGGGCAGTTTTTGAAATTACATTTTTTTAGGTAGGTTAGCTTTCAGATTATTTAGAATTGTTAACCATTTTATTAACAATCATTTATCAAGTATAAAGTATTAGTATATATAGAGTTTGTATGAGGCATTAATTTAAGTTAATAGGGCATTAGTCCCCACTTTGTTTTAATTAGAAACTTTATTTGATTTCACATTTGTCCTGAAAATTTTGTTATTATTAGGATCTATCAATGATGATAATTATAGTACTTTGGCTTGTGTAGCAGCTTTTAACTTTAGTTTGTATGCAAACCGTGAATGATGGGGGGGGGTGTATGAATGGATTGGTTTAATGAATGTGTAAGAAGGTTAAAAACAATTATACTGTAAAGACCAAAGGTACTTTAGCATAGAATAGGGAACCAATAGGTTCAATTTTAAATTTGATTTCTTTATTTGTTAGGAACGATAGCCTCACAGGGCTGTACAACTCTATTGTTAGGAAAGGTATTCGCTCCATTTTGTTAGGTCTCCCCTTTCGGGAGTATAAAATTTTAATTTCTATTACTAGGGTAATCAAGTACTCTTTGTTATTTATATCAACTTGAATTTTAAGAGTCGTAGATAATGATCATATCTCGATTCTCAGACTGGAAGGTTGTGGGAGGTTATGATCAGACCAGAAACCCCACCAAACTTCCCCTCATTAGAGGGAACGAAGAGGTATAGATTGAATTTTATGCAGGATGGGGGATTTGTTTTAGCCATGCCGTATAGCCTGGGGTATAACGGCGCGACCTTGGGTAACCGATCTGACACCGTAGTTTCGACGCTTTTAGCGTGGCTGGAGCGAGGGTGTTCTAGACGGGAGGTCCTGTAAGATTGGCATGTAGGCAGAGATTGCCCAGTTATTCTAGACGAAGTGTTTCCGTCTATTGAATTTTTTTGGTACCAGTTTGATCCCCCATAGCTAGCGGAAGTTTCTTCTAATAAAGGATTCGCCCTGCCATACGTTTTGTTGGAATGAATTCGAGTATAAGACCGATTCGAGAGGCAAAAATAAGTAATTATTAGGACCTTCAACGAGTTTAAACTCGTTTCATGATAGGATAAGATTTTAAAGTATTAGTTAACTATAAGGATCGCGAACGAGACGCCAGAACGAGCCAATGAGTCAAAGTTTTAGAAGTGTTGTATTGAGGACAGTAGAATTAAGAGCAGTTATACAGGGAGTAGAATTCTGAAGGAATTTGTAAAAGAACCAAAATTTCAGATTGATAAAATTCAAATTTATAAGATGTAGATTTGTAGGATTCAGGTCAATGAATAGAGGGTATATTAGTAGATGAAAGTAATATGAATTTCTTGGAAGGGGGAGGTAGCTGAACTGTACACACCCCAGAGACAAGGTAAACGGAGTCACAAACAAAATAGTAGAAATTGATTAGTCGCTCTGCCAAAACAGAAAAATTCTCTTCATACGGTTGTCACCCTAGATTTAAATGTACTGTGTAGTTTAATAGAGGTCTGGGCTATGCTCCATTTGACCAAGATTCTAAATGACGTTCCCATCTGGGTTGAGAGAGTATTGTAATTAGAGGAATCTAACACATAAGAGAAAACACACCCTCCAGTAGGATCGGGATAGACGAATATTACCCAGTGACCAACTCGTGATTCCAGACTGAATAAGATTGAAAAACTTAACTGAGATACTAAACCTTGAACCTTCAGCGCACAAATATATATAATGTGTTTTCATTTTCTAATTGAATATGTTATTATTTTATATCATATATATTATATTATAATCATATGCTATTCATTTCAACAATTTTATTTCCTTTGATATTCATGATATTAGTAATATTTACCGGCCATGTTGCGATTTTTTTTAACATGTTGTCATGGCTTATTCTTCCCTCAAGGCATGATCTATTTTATCCTTATTGTCTTTTATCCGCCTTACTTGTATAAGTATATATATTTTGTCATCATATATAATTTTGTAGTAGTTTTCTTTATCATCTATCATGGGATGATTTTTTATCATATTTAATCACTATCTGCATGATACGTGTTTTCTTCAATATATATATTATACCCATCATATAACATGGAAGGATTCATTTTATCATTACATATTTCGTGCCTTATTTAATAATTACTTTCACAATTTGTTTTCTGTAAACTTTTTTTTTTTATTTAGCAAAAGTCATCATGTCATAGGCTAATCATTATGTATCAAGATATTTCTTTCAGCTAACTATAATTATCCTTTCCTTTGATTGTATATGTATAACTATACCACACGAATGTCTTGATTGGTACTTAAATAAAGATGCTGGCATGTTTTAGGAGTTGGACTAGTCAGTTATTTCTAAACGACTTCTTGGCGCCCAAATTTTTATATATAATATGTAATAGGGAAATGCTCTAACTGTATTGTTAGCAGAAAGAAGGTAGCAATGAATCCAGCACCACAAGAGGCAAGGATGGGGTTGAGAGGACTTACCACAAGGAGGGCCTACTCCTCAAGGCCAAAGAAGAAAGTGGAAGGGTGGTATATATACCCATGAATGGTAAGACAGATGACCTTGCTTACTTCCATACATATGATATGACTGTCCCCCATAACCTATGTTGATAACAGTGTGCTGACAGAATAATAACACAAAAACCCCTTTGCCAGGATGCACAATGCCCACTAATGTTCGGAATAATAAACATCTAGAATAGCATACCATCATTTTGATTAGCCTTATCTTCCCTATAGGTTTCGGTACACCTGGCTTCACCTAGTAATGGAAAATGCATTTTGCTAGAAATGGGCCTGCTTTCATAGTAACTGATGAAAGGCAGATGAATAATGAATAGCACAAACGCATTTGTCCATTACTTGGCAGGGGGAGGATTGTTGGGGCACGTTTTTGTAACCATACCCCAACAGAAGGCGTATGTATAATCAAATCAAATGGATACATGGCTTCCCTCCCACATAGACTTACAGACCATTCTTTTTGCCCAGAAACCTAGACAACAGATGACACCAGACTTCCATGCCGAAAGCTGATGCCTGGTAAAGAAGAAGACATCCAGAGACATCCGAGCTGGAAACTGTTGTTTCATATGTACATATATTCCCCTCACCAAAAATTTAGGTAAAGGTGACCAAAAAAAAAATGGAGAAGGAAGATCTCTAAAAGACTGAACCTTATAAAAAAATTCTTCCCGAGAAAGGAAAGCGTTATATTACAGTTCAAGTGAAAAGGGGCCTGTGTCAATTTTAGCTAAGACGGAGGGGGGGGCGATATATATATATCGTCCCGAGAAAAAGGGAGGATTTTATTTCAATCCATGTGGAGAGAGGGGGGCTGGCGTCTGAAATTTTACACTATCGCCGTAGATGTTGCCCTCTTTAGATTTTTTTTGTTTTGGTAATACTATATGTTCTATTTTGATGAGGCCTGGGGCGTCTATGAAATTGATACTGGAGCCGTTGGCCATTTTGATTGGTGTTTCTTTCGGCGAATGAAAATGGAGAGAGAGATGAATAAAAGAAGGTTCTTTGCCAAAAGGCAGGATTCGATCTGAGTCGCTCAGTGAAAGGACAGTCTTCAGACGGGAGACCAGACCTTTGCTGGCACTTTCGAGAAAAGGTAAGCCATTTGTCATTATGACTCAGCGCCTTCCCCCCCCCCCCTTTTGTGTAGTAGCCAACCTAGATTTCGCATGGGCCCTAAAGGGCTATAAAGTAATTTCAGGTCACCTCTATCTAAATTTTACTATGTAAATAGCATATCTCGTCAGTATAGACATGTTCCCAAAATTTTAAGATATTTAAATAAATATCTAGAGAAATTTTCTTGTTTCCTCTGTTACCTATTTCATACATAATTTGCCTTATGGTGCTATTCCCACTGTTTAAATGAAATGTTGTATGTTTCTTACCTATTTGAAGGGAATGTTACTAATAATCAAGTCTCCCATAAATTACCGGCCACATACATTGCCGCGAGTGTCTGTGTTTCAGTGTTTTATAGATTGCCCAATTTAATAACGATTTCATGGGTTGTCTGATGAAATTGTATAATAGTGTCGCGGCTGTTTCCATCTTTAGACCATTGTTCTGACAATATTATATGCTCGATCCTTGCTTTAGCTCAACTCTTAATCAATTACAGAGTTTTTCCCCCCTTTTTCTTTTTTATTTATTTTATTTATCCTGTTTGCACAAATTGCATTACATGTGATGATGTAAAGACATATGCCGATAGTGCATCACTGACAGCTGTGCTGCTATTATACAACATTAAGGTCTTGCTGCGGGTTATATACATGGGGTTGTTGGCCTAAATTGCTATATATTTATATACTTAAGTAAGGAAACTTTAGTAAGTCACATCGTGTACCCTCCCTTTTCAACTATCCAAACCGGGAACCCATCACACTTAATCCTGTATGTGAAGATTCAATTACCGAGATGGCGGTCTTCTATGAGCGGGAATTGGTAGAGGAGGTTGAGAGGATGAGGGAGATGGTGAGGCAAACTTACTTGAACGAGCAACAAGAAGCCAGGGCTAAATTCGAAACTAGAGAGTTGAGAACCTTCGAGACAGGGGATCTAGTTCTGGTGGAGCGAATGCACGAGACGAAAGGACATCATAAATTTGAGCCAAGGTACAGAGGACCATATGAGGTATTACAAAGGGCGGGCGACACTGCTTATCTTTTGAAGGACTTGGAGACTAGGAATTTAGATAAAATCCACATAGACAGGTTGAAGGCCTATCATACCCCAGTAATATCCATATTTACATATATTTAATTAACATCTACTTATATAATTGCCTTATTCTGTCTGTGTGAAGTTCACTGTGTGAAGTTCAGGATAGATTTTGGTCAGAGTGGATAAAATAAAAAAAGTGTCAAGGGATGGGAATCGAACCCAATCCGCTTTCCGGGCAGATGCCATGACCACTAGGCTACCCTGGACATATTTTTCCATTCATAAAGTTAAGAATAAAAGAATAAATATTTTAATATAAGAATAAAATATGATATTCATTAAATAGGTATTTAATTTTTAGTATCGCATTTATATTTATTCGAATTTTTTATTTGAACGATAGGCTCATTATTTCTTTTGATGTTTATATATCTTATATACCGTTTTGCACAATTATTTAATATTTTTTATATAAAGTACAATACTTAAATGAAAATATGTTTCTTATACAATCATATTATAATTGTAACGAATAGTATTTTAATTAAAACATTTTAAAACACAGAGTTTGGAACGGGACGTTTCACAAGAGTGACATCCATGGCGCCAATTTATAATTGTAACGAATAGTATTTGAATTAAAACGTTTTTAAAATATATACGCACGGTAAAACCAGGTCGTTGCCCGGGCCATTCATCTAGTGTTTTAATTAAAATACTATTCTTTACAATTATAATTTAATTGTATATAAGAAACATATTTTCATTTAAGTATTGTACTTTATATAAAAAAGATTAAATAATTGTGCAAAACGGTATATGCGATATATAAACATCAAAAGAAATAATGAGCCTATCGTTCAAATATAAAATTTGAATAAATATAAATGAGATACTAAAAATTAAATACCTATTTAATGAATATCATATTTTATTCTTATATTAAAATATTTATTCTTTTATTCTTAACTTTATGAACGGAAAAATATGTCCAGGGTAGCCTAGTGGTCATGGCATCTGCCAGTAAGTGGAAGGTCGTGGGTTCGATTCCCATCCCTTGACACTTTTTTTATTTTATCCATTCTGACCAAAATCTATCAGTGAACTTCACACAGTGAACTTCACACAGACAGAATAAGGCAATTATATAAGTAGATATATATAAAGGTTTTTATAATATTTTAAAGGAAAGTTATAGAAAATTTAGATGTTGTGAATTGAAAGTATAATGTCAGTATAGCAAGCTATTACTGAACAATAAGTAGAATTAAATATAATTTTTATGAAAGATAGTTGTAAATTAATGATGATTAAAAACAAATTATAAAATATTATTATTTGAGTATCAAAAAGGTTTTAATTTTTTATGTAACAATATAGGGTTATAACAAGTTCACGCTTTTACCTTGGAGTTTACGCGTCATTTATTTAAAATTTTTATAAAACTGACGAGGGCCATTAGCCCGAAACCATGGTCTCTAGGTGGACGCTTTTCAGTTTGCCAAAGCTGGTGTTGTGGCTTTGTCACCGACTCGAGGCCGCTAGTTGCGGCAACGGTCAATAGATGGCGCCTGGTTTTATACGTCTATTTTGAAGGGAGAGGCGACCCTTGTCTCTTTAGATCAATTTTCTCCAGCAAAATTTCCATCTATATATCCTATTTTCAATAGGAAATAAATTTAATAAAAAACTTTTTTTTCTCTCTCTCTCTAAATAAAAATCATATTTATAGGTTTTTAACTTTTAATTAGACACATTTTAAATTTATATTTAGACATTTTCAATTTCAATTTAGACACTTTTCATTTTAATTTAGACACATCAACTTTTTATAGGAAAGTTGATGTGTCTAAATTAAAATGAAAAATGTCTAAATATAAATTAGAATTGTCTAATTAAAAGTTAAAAATCTATATATAAAAATCAAAGGATAGTATTTTAATGAAACAGCATTCCGATTTATTACTACCTATTTAAATGAATAAAGTAGATAGTTTGCCTTATTTTCCAAATTATTCTTCATTAAACAAATTGTCTGTACTTTTGAACTTTAACGTGGAAAAAAAAAAACGATTTTTGACCAGAACTTTTTTTTCATCTAAAATAAATAATTTTAGTTTCTTTTTACGAGAAATAGTTATCTTTATTTACCTGAAATTATAATTTTATATCAAGGCTTTTATTTATAACTGGCAGATAATTTTAAACTAAAAAAAATTATATATACATAAACTAAAAATATTTAATTTAAATATATATATTTACTTGTAAGTTGTCTAAAAAAACTAGGTCTTTAAAAATATTTCTGGAGAAAAAAAATTGTTCTTTTAATATAACTAAAATATCAAAGTTAATATCCCCCAGGTAGTTGGAGTTCTGCGCTCCAGGAGAACCTGGGTTATAATTATCTCTCAAAGTTAATTAGGAAATAAATACAAAAATAATCGCAAAAGATTTTTTAAATCAATCAAAATTTGTTTTACGTCTTACGCGAACTCTACACGCCACAAAGATTTTATTTAAATATTAAAATGCCTCTATAAACATCCCATAACAAGATTAATCGATACCATTCTCTAACATTAAAATATAAAATGAAAACAATTTAATTTCAATTTTTTCTCATGTCTCTTATTTAAAAGAGAGTTTTTAAATATATTTTTTTGCCCCCTTGTATAATAAATTATTCAAAAATGAATTTCGAACATGTTTCCCTAGAGGAAGCCATACAAAATGGTAATATCCCTTATTTGAAGAATCTACTAGAAAATAAAACTGTTAACTTAAATAAGAAGTTAGATGGAGGAGACACCCCTCTGATAACAGCAGTTAGACATGGACAACTAGACATTGTAAAAATGTTAATTCAGGCAAATGTTGATTTAGAAGATTATGATGATGATATGATGACCCCATTGTCTATAGCAGCTGAGATTGGAAATGTGGATATTTTAGAATGTTTAATTGAATCTGGAGCAAATATAAATTTTGGGGATATTTTTAACATCACCCCCCTAATTTGGGCTATTGAAAATGGCCATTTGGAAATTGTAAAAAAACTTGTGATTGCAGGGGCTAAGATTAATAAAATTTATTGTGAAGATCATTTTCCATTAATAACAGCTGCCGAACATGGCCAAGTTGATATTGCTCAGTTTCTTATAGAAGAGGGAGCTGATGTTAATGCAACAGCAGGTAGATATAATAGAAAAACACCCATAATGATTTCAACTGAAAGGGGTGACTTGAGTATGGTTGAAATCTTGGTCAAGGCCAAAGCTGAGGTAAATAATAGAGATAGAAATGGCAATACACTTCTTCATGTGGCTGCTTCCAAAGGTCATGTTGAAATAGTAAGGTGTCTTATAAAAGGAGGAGCTGATGTTAATGTGAGAAATGATGATGGGGAAATCCCTATATTTCATTTTATAGAGAGAGGTGACTTGAATATGGTTGAAATTTTGGTCAAGGCCAAAGCTGATGTAAATAATAGAGATTGGAATGGCGATACACCTATTCATATGGCTGCTTCCAAAGGTCATGTTGAAATAGTAAGGTGTCTTATAAAAGGAGGAGCTGATGTTAATGTGAGAAATGATTATGGGGAAATCCCTATATTTCATTTTATAGAGAGAGGTGACTTGAATATGGTTGAAATTTTGGTCAAGGCCAAAGCTGATGTAAATAATAGAGATTGGAATGACAATACACCTATTCATATGGCTGCTTCCAAAAGTCATGTTGATATAGTCAGATGTCTTATAAAAGAAGAAGCTGATGTTAATGCTCAGAATAAAGATGGAGTAACACCCTTAATAAAGTATGCAGAGGTAGGAGGTGACATTAGTATGGTTGAAATCTTGGTTAAGGCAAAAGCTGATGTGAATGTGAAAGATAACAATGGGAATACACCTATTTATGTGGCTGCTTCCAAAGGTCATGTTGATATAGTCAGATGTCTTATAAAAGAAGGAGCTGATGTGAATACAACAGGTAGATATGATAAAAAAACACCTATATTGAAAATTACTGAAAGAGGTGACATTAGTATGGTTGAAATCTTGATTAAGGCAAAAGCTGATGTAAATATAAGAGATAGGGATGGCAATACACCTATTCATGTGGCTGCTTCCAAAGGTCATGTTGAAATAGCCAACTGTCTTATAAAAGAAGGAGCTGATGTTAATGCTCAGAATAAAGATGGAGTAACACCCTTAATGAAGTATGTAGAGGTAGGTGATTTGAATATGATTGAAGTCTTGGTTAATTTAAAAGTTGATATAAATCACAAGAATATAAAAGGCCATACAGCCCTACAAATGGCTATCTCGAATGGCCAAATGGACATAGTCAAATATCTTATAAAGGAAGGAGCTGATGTTAATGCCAAGGATGTAAGTGGATTAACGCCTTTAATGATATGCGTCAAAAACGATAATTTGGAAATGACAAAAATCCTGATTGATGCCAAAGCTGTAATTGACCAGATAGATGCTGTGGGTCGTACAGCTCTCAATATAGCAGCAGACATGAGAAATGAAAAGATGATTATCTACCTAATTGAAGAAGGAGCTGAAGATAAGGAAGATAAGATCCTCACAAAATTTGTGAAAATGGGAAATTTTAAAATGGTAGAATTTTTAATTAGCTCCAGATTTGGAGGGAGAACTTGGAAGGACAGCACACCTTTATCTGTGGCAATAGAAAGTAACAGTTTGGATATGGTGAGGTTACTTGTACAAAATGGTATCAGAGTTAATGGATTGGACCAATGGGAAGCTACACCTCTAATAATGGCTTGTAAAATGGGAAACTTGGAAACTGTTAAATTTTTAATTGATTCAAAAGCTGATATCAATAGAAGGTTAAAGTATGGTAAAATGCCTTTAAGTGAAGCGATTTACAATGATCATGAAGATGTAGTCAGATATCTAATAGAGAAAGGTGCCGATGTCACTTGTAAAGATAAATATGGGATTACCTGCTTGATATATTTTATTAAAAGAAATGATTCAGAAATGGTCCAGGAATTAATATGTCGCAGGGTTAATGTAAATCAGAAAGGTAAGGATGGTAACTCTCCATTAAGTGTGGCTGTTATGCAAGGAAATTTAATAATTGTTAAGATGCTCCTAGGAAAAGGAGCAGATATAAACACAATGGATAATAGGTATGGAAACACACCTTTGATCAGTGCTATTGAATCAGGCTATTATGAGATTGCTGAGTGTTTAATTGATGGCAGAGCTGACATTAACAAAAAAAAT